CTTTATTTTTTGGGGTTCCAAAATCACTGCAGATGGTGACTGCAGCCATGAAATTAAAAAAAGGACTATCCAGTCCAAAACATCAATAGTGCCAGGGGTGAGAAACATTAGCTTACATTATAAGGCTCTGCAATCATTAGAAAGAACCAAGTGCAGGCTTCAGCCATCCTTCCCTGGGGAGGGAAGAAATACCACTCTTAATGGGCAAGTATGGGAAGCCTTGTCATAGAAGTGGAATTTTGGTTGCGTCTTTATAAACATGGTAGAAAAGAAAGAACGGTTATTTTCTACAGCCTAGGACAAAAGAAATGAATCAAAGATGTGGTGCTTAAAAAAATGGCAAAGTAAGCACTTTCTGTAAATAACCTAGAGAAAAGTAGTAAAAAATTATGTACAAAAATCCTGGTAAAGCAGCGTGTGTTTATAAATGCTTGGGACATCTCTGAATATTCATAAAATAACCCTAATTTGGGTGATTCTAGAAAGGAAACTGTGTACCGGAAGGACACTAACAAATCTCTATTTAAAAAATGATTAATTAATTAATCAATAAGGAAAGATTTACCTGCCAGGGAATAAAAGCTGATTCAGGGTTTGTAAGGGAAACATGGACTTTCATTAGATGGTAGAAGACCTTAAACAGGTTCATAAGAAGAGCCATGATTTAACATTTATTGGACACGAGCTATGTACAAGTCCAAAGATATTATTTGTTGCTTAGAAAAATGGTAAACACATACACTCCAAACCCACACTACCTGGGTTTGAATTCCTGCTCCACCACATACACTGGTTGTTTCTTGACTAAGGCTAAATTACTTAACTGTAGTTCCACTTCCATTAAAAAAAAGAAAAAAAGAAAAGAAAAAGTACACAAAAAACCTATATCATAGGCTTATTATGAGGATTCAATGCATTAAAATTTACAAAGTAATTAAAATTATACTTTGCACATAGTAAGCACTGAACAAATATTCATAATTATTATAGCAATATCCCTTTATACCATAACAATAATAATGAAAGTACCATTATTATTCTCATCTTATTCATAATGAAACTATGACTTAAAAAGATTATGTAACTTGGCCAAAGTTCTTTAGCTGGAGTAGCGTATACAGTTGTCCCTCAGAATCTCAGAATTTGGTTCCAGGACATCCACCCTCCCCTGTGGATGCCAAGGGCCCCAGATGCTCAAGTCCCTTATAATGAAAGGGCAGCAGTATTTGCATGTAATCTACACACACCCTCCCACATACTTTACATCATCTCTAGATTACCTACAGTATTTTACACAATGTAAATACTACATAAATAGTTGTAAATAAAATGTAAATGTTATGTAATAGTTGTCTGCATAGCAAATTCAAATTTGTTTTTTGGGACATTCTCAAATTTTTCTCCTGAATATTTACAATCCATGGTTGGTGGAATCCAATGGATTCAGAACCTGAGGACACACAGAACTATACTTGACACCAACACCCAAGTTCTACATCACTATATACATTGCTTCACGGAAGTCAACAATATTGATCTTCCAGAACACGCAACAGAATGCCACTAAAGGTTTCTACATAAGGATATGAATTATTAAAGCAAAGTTTTACTGAGGAAAATAACTGTCAACAGAATAAACTGAAGTGAAAAGGTGAGGTGATAAGGACCACTAAGAAAGGTGGTGCTGGAAACAAAAGGAATACCACGAGAAACATACATGGCCAGAAGGGATCAGTGGCTAGGTGACCAGGGGGGAGGGTTGGGTGCAACAGCGATAAGTGAAACACTGTTAGCTGCAGTGGACTTCAGAGGTGAAGGAGGCCGCACAGTGAGAGAATATTAGAAAGGGGGCCCACTCTGCTGTATCTTGCGGAGTAACAGAGCTGAGTGGGTCTATTAATAAAGGATCTTCCTGGTATTACCCAGGAATCAAAAGTACTGAACCCAGAGGATGACTCAAAGAGAATGAAAGGAAATTCAGGCAGAGAGATTATTGCCTGGGATATATAACAATGTACTACTTTGAGAGTTATAAGTTTAGAGGGGGAAAAAAAATCCAGATTTCATGGTATTTTTCTTAAAAGAAAATTAAAGATGGGATCAAATTAAAGCTTCTATTAACAATGCCTACAAGAACTAAGTGCAGACCACATAAAATCAAAATTTCATCTTGAAATTATTCTAGACCAATAAAATACTACATAAGTTCTTACTCTCTAAGGAGCAGTGTACATAAATTAAAGTGAGGATTGCATTCATGAAATCATTTGTTCAGTAAGTATGCATTAAAGTTTCAATACACTTTAAGAACATCTTATTTAGATTTAGGGACATTTTTATCAGCTAAGAATGGCAAGATTTTGGTTTTCCGTTCTGGAATACAAAATAAATATTGACGGTTCCTCTGCTAATTCATCTTCTCCCAACAATGCCAAGCTTAAGTTGTAGTGACACCTAAGGCAACAGTAGGGGATGACAGAACCTGTGTGATATACATTCAAGCTGTTATTTCTGAAATTATGAACTTTGTTAAAATATGTAAAACCTGTACTGCAATGTTCATAGCAGCACTACTTATAATAGCCAGGACATGGACACAACTTAGATACCCATCGATAAATGAATGGATGAAGATGTAGTACATAATTCAGCAATAAAAAGGAAGGTAACTAAGTCATTTGTAGTGATGTGGATGGACCGATAGTCTGTTATACACAGTGAAATAAGTCAGAAAGAGAAAGACAAATACTGTATATTAATGCATATATATGGAATCTATAAAAATGGTACTGATGAACTTATTTGCAGGGAAAGAACAGAGATGTAGATGTAGAGAATGGACTTGTGGACACAGTGGGGGATGTAGAGGGTGGGATGAATCAAGAGAGTAGCACTGACATTATACACTGTATGTGTAAGATACCTAGTGGGAAGCTAGCTATATAGCCGTATAGCACAGGGAGCTCAGTTCGGGGCACTAAAATGACCTAGAGGGGTGGGAGAGAGGTTCAACAGGAGGAGATATATGTATATGTAGAGCTGATTCTGGGTTGTTGTACAGCAGAAACTAATATAACATTGTAAGGCAATTATACTCCAATTTAAAGAACTAGACACACATGCTTTCTTAACTTCATATTTAGAAATAAGAATTGTCATAAATAATAAGTTGTTTCTTACTGTGCATTTTCTTAATTTTAAATTTTAACTACAAGAAAAATAAATGGGCATTTTCCTTCCATCAAGATAAAAAATATGTAAATCTTTCAATATTTCCAGGAGTTATCAGAGATAAAGTAGAAAATTTACATTAGATAGCAAATTTTTTCAAAATTTTAACTATATTCTTTTTTTTTAAAGTTTAGATTTGAAACTAATAGTTACGTATACCAAAGCAACATTCGGGGATCAAAAAATTCCAATTAACATTTTCCCTTAACATGAATCGTCTTCTAAATCAAAGGAAAGTTATTGTTTTTTCACTTGAAGATGTTAGGCATGTTAAAATAATGAGTTAAAATGCTACTATCTAAAACCTACACGGGAACAGATATATTAAACAAAAGCTCCCCATGGGTCCATACTAGGCACACGTGCATGCACACTACAGTGTGGGAGTGAAGTCCTCCCGGGAGGCCAGCGTAGCCCCTCTTCTCAAGTACCATCTACAATGTTAGAAGATAAGCTGCCAATCTGCAGTACAAAAAAGACAAAGGTAAATAAAGAGATGAACAACATACTGAATAAACAGAATGACCCATACACAATTTCAAAAGCAATATCCAGGGTGCTTTTAACAAAACAAATTCAGCTTCAAATTTTTTTTTAAAATTTAAAAACCTACACACATATGCCAACATGCAAATACCTCTACAACTGTCGGGAAGCTTCTTCTTCAGACACTCAGATCTTAAAATTCACAATTCCTTAACTGTGAATCATTCCCTGATTCTTTTCATATTTAAGAATTCTGGATCAAAGTCTATATTTCAGGTATAGAATCTTCAGGCAGATCTAGCTCAAGTTTTAGGCTCTGGGACCAAAAAAAGAGAACCAAACCACCTAGTCCTCTTCTCAAGTAAACCAAGCAACCTCCTTGATATTACTTACACTGCAGAAATATCCACAGATATTATCCATTATATCAGAATAAGTAATCCAGAATAAGACATATCCACAACTTTCCCACCTTAGGCTCTCAGGACAATGAGTCAAAGACTGGTATGTTCTATGCAGAAAACTGAATCTGGGAAGCATTTCTAATCAGAAGGAGATCTTCCATATATGGATACTTCCATTTCTATAAACATCTGTTTAAAGACCCTAACTGAAGGGTCTTTTTCTTTTGTCAAGGCAAAAGTACAAATATTCCCTATATAACTTAAACATTCCTTAGATTATCTTTCATTTACCCTTCATCCAAATACTAAGAAATAGCAAATAAAAACAACACATTACATGTTTATCTGTGTTATCTTCTAAGTGGAACATTTTGTAAATGCTATTGGATAAAACGATTTCTTATTTTACTGCATCATTTATGTGAAAAAAGAGTCAGATGCCAAAAGAAATGTGTGTTTGACATTTACATATTACTCTCTTCATAAGACAGAATAGCTTATCATTAGGCAAATATCAATATAAAATTGATTTAACAAGTTCATAGTGTTAAGCACTGTAATATATGTATCTTTAAAACGGGAGATATGTGTCTGTGTATGTATTTTTTACTTTTATTTAAAACAAAACAAAACAGTAATTTGGGACTTCCCCATTAGTCCAGAGGTTAAGAATCTGCCTTCCAATGCAGGAAATGCCAGCTCAATGCCTGGCTGGGGAACTAAGATTCCACATGTGTTGGGGCTATTTAAGCCTGGGTGCCTCAACTAAAACCCAACACAGCCAAAAAAAAAAATATTTTAAAACAAACAAACAGTAATTTGTGTTGAAAGGCTGGCCAGTAGGTATTGGAGGATGGGGCCTGCAGTCATAAGTCTCACCTGTCTAATGATGCTCTTCACACAACGTACTGGGAGGCCTTGGTAGTTGGATTTTATGATCCACTTGAGGAGATGATGGCCAAGCACTTCGAAGACCATGCAGACATCTGGGACAGGGTTAAGGATCATTTCTGGAGGCAATTCCTGGAGTGACACAATTACTGAAAGCAGAATCACTGTGGCACTTGGCAAAAGAATTAGTTCTTTATAAAGTGTAACATCAATACTATCAATAATACCAAAAGTGTGGAACCTCCCTGGTGGTCCAGTGGATAAGACTCCATGCTCCCAATTCAGGGGGCACAGGTTCGCTCCGTGGTCCAGGAACTGAGATCCCTCATGCCGCAACTAAGCCTCTGCACCAAAACTAGAGCCCGCAGATCACAACAAAGACCGAGTGAAGCCAAGATAAAAAATATAAAAAAGAAAAAATGGCTGCTTACTGTTTCTCACCTAAACAGAAAAATCTAACATTTACTAAGTATACTTACTATGTACCATATAGGATTTAATGTGTACTCATAACAATGGGGCTTTCCCTGGTGGCTCAGACGGTAAAGCATCTGCCTATAATGCGGGAGACCCGGGTTCGATCCCTCAGTCAGGAAGATTCCCTGGAGAAGGAAATGGCAACCCACTCCAGTACTCTTGCCTGGAAAATCCCATGGACAGAGGAGCCTAGTAGGCTACAGTCCATGGGGTTGCAAAGAGTCGGACACGACTGAGCAACTTCACTAACTAACTAACATAACAATGGGGGGATGAGCAACTTCACTAACTAACTAACATAACAATGGGGGGAACGAGGCAAGTAAACCTCAGAGAGTCTAATACCCTTCCTGCCTGACACAGGGTAAAGGTGGCAGGGTCATGACTTGACAAAATACTTACCTGTGGGCTTCCTCCATCCAGCACACCCCTCCTGACAATAAGCCTTAATGAAAATGAGCAAGACTAAAACCTCACAGAAACCCATGAGGGAAAGAACAAGAGAACTTGCCCCTCTTAAGTGTCCTGCCTGCCTAACTAAATTTCTATCCAATCATCACATAAAACATTTTATAAAACAGAAATTTACCAAACACAGTGAAGACATTTAACCTTTTCCTTCAATAGTACCTTTCACTGGGTCACTAGATCAAAATTTTAATTGTTTAAGTTTTTAAGAATGTATGATCACAATTTAGGACATGGCATGGTCGTAAGAACAACCTTTAATAATGAAGTCTCAGGAATCTGTTGTCATTTTTTTATAAAAATAGAAATTCTAGTCAACCACTGGCCCTCCAGAACTACGCCCCATCAAAGTCTCTAATGTAAATATAAACAAGTCATTCACTCAGAAATGAATGGCTCTGAAACCCTTTAGGGCCTATATATGGACTATAAAAAGGTCATTTAATATTTTATGTAATCTCTAGATCTATTAAAGCACATCATCATAGTAACTATTGCTTTAAATATCTTTAATAAAAATAAGAAAAATATTCCTACAATACTGGAAAACAAATGTGCTACAGACTTATGCATGGATGATCTAAAGCAAGACGTTCCTTACTATTTCCCAAACTCATTTAAAAAAAAAATGGAACTTAAGGTCTAAACTTAATAGCAGACATAGAGCCAAAGCCCAAGGTTTCTAAATTATCACCACAGTATTCGCAAAGCACTGATAGCCACTGGAGTGTATATATCAAAAAATCAACTCCACTGACCTAAAAATTAGGTGTTTCCTCCAAAGAAACCCTCTCTCCAGCAGCTGTTTTAACAACATTCCAAATGTGATGCAAGAGGAAGGGCTGCCCTGCCTACCATAAACAGGCTCACTTGAAGAACAGGACAGAGGACCAGTTCCATCTTTCCTTCTATCAAGAGGGAAAATGCACCCTGCAGTTAACAGAAAGGATCTTAAGGCAAAGAAGAGGCAACATCAGCGGTCACCAAAATTTGCCAGTGTCCTCGAATCCGATCCCTGTAAGAAATACAAAAACCTCCTCAAATGACCAGGCATGAGGGGAGTGCTTCCCGGAGGAACCAGGACTTAGCAGACGCACAGATGGGATGTCATTCGGGGTGAAAGCTGGAGAGGCTCGCCCTCAGGCTTCTGAAGCTCCAACAGGCCAGACACCAAAATGCTGGCTCTGTTCCAAAGATGGTAAATGGCAGAATAAAAGGTCAGGAAGGAGGAAAGGACCCTGGTTCTTGACACATTCCTGGCCCTCAAAGGGCTACAAATACACAGTCCAGTACAAATACACAGTCCAGTATTCCTGAATCTTGGGAAATGAAGGCATTGCCTAGGTCAATCACACAAAGAGCTAACTCAGAGGATCCAACACTAAAATACGGAAACAGCATTTTGGAAACTAAAGACATTATTTCTTCCCTCCACTGGTTCCAACGACACTAAACTACAGGTTACTCCGCTGTCACTGCCACTCCTGGGCTACCCTTTAGTAATGCCCCAGGCAAAAAGAGAAAATAACTCCTTCCACACCCATTCACCCTGCTGAGCCTCACCTCCAAAGCTACTAAGCATGCAAACAACTGACCAGAAGCATAGTTAAAAATGATATTCCCCAAAGAAAAAAGAGATCATGAGATGCCCTTGCTTCACTTGTAACACATATTTCTTCTCCAAAACTAGAAGGCCTCCATATTAAAAAAGGAAAAGGAACAACTCATCTTATAATTAAGAAGCTTTCATCTTTCAAGAATCATATAATACGGTGACACTAGAGGTTTCATGTGGAGAGTGATAAAGCAGAGCAGACGTACGTTTATAAGGGTTTGAAATATTTACATTTTTTAAAATTGAAAAGAAAAACTAAAATATTAATTCAGCCATTAGGAAGCAACAGAACTGTCAGAAAGGATACGTATTCCATTCATGCCTGAAATCTTGAAGTCATCTATAAGCTGCACTACCATGTCTTTATTTGGGTCGCTGGGATCACTTTCTCGAACCTAGAGAAAGAAAAACAAAGTCAAGAACATAAGTGTTTAAGACTGAAAGTCATTTCCACTATACCAACCAAAACTATTTTAATAAAAGAAAATTTTTTTAAAATAAAAGATTCAGTATTTGAATTTATAAATAATAAATTCAATTAATTTAGTAAAATTCAGAAAAATTCCTCTGTAAAATTATGTCATTAACCTTTCTTATATTATTCACATATTTGTAATACTTACACATTTGAGCAATTTTATTTCATCCAAGGCTGTCTCCGTATAATGCTGGGCACTTTTTACAACTTTCATTGCAACAAATCTTTTTCCCCTTTGAAAAAATGCATTAAAGAAAATATTAACAGCAGAAGTGTTAACAACTAATAAACCAGACTAATAAACTAAACATTATAATGAACTCTAATAAGCTCTAATTAATAGAAACTTTAAATACTTTCCTTTAAAATAGTACTTTTCAAATTGTGGGGCCACAGTTAAGCAGTGGCTTCATAAGTAGATCTTTTTTGCTTTTTGTTTCTGTTCTGTCCTCATAAAAATATGGCACACTAGATAAATATCAGAGTTCATCGTCACGTATGGTCAAGATCAAGTATTATTTTAAAACACTTTTATTTCAATTCACACATACTACACATGAGTATGTGTACTATAAGAAGGCAGTTTCATATTATGGATCATAGCTTTAAAAAAAAGAAAGTCAAAACCCACTAATTTGAAAGGTCTATATGTTATTATTTTATATTTGAAATGTTTTTCTGGTATGGATGAATTACTATATGACTCGACTGTGAAATTACAAAGAATAAGTCTCAGATATAAAAGCAGAAGAAAGTTACTATTTAAATAGCTTGTTATAAAATAAAGATGTTGAACCAGATCAGGAATCAACAGCACACATGACCAGGAGCACTTACTGCATATCCCAGCACAGCCAGACAGTAGAGAAGTGGCCCCATCCTAGCTTCCTGATTACATGGTACCGGCCATTGAAGAGGTCTCCAATTTTCACTGGATGATAGCCACCTATGATTGTTTAAAAAAAATTTTTTTTCTTTTTTTCAGAAAAATAGTAATAGAAACTCTTTTTCCTTATCAGTTCTTCATATCAGTAAATAAATCTCTAAATAGTAAAACTGGATGTGAAACATGCTTAATAATATAACATTTTTCCAAGAGCATCTTTCATCAAGAGAAAAATGCCCTATGTCTTTCTTTTAGGCTTCTTCAGTTTTTAAAAACTTACCTTGAAAAAGCAATGAACCAGCCCAACACACCATAACAGTAACTGAAGGTTTTAAAGTCTAGGTGCACATACTATGTGTATTCCAACTCTGGACATTTCTAACCAGTAAGTTAAATGCAAATCTTCTGGGGTCTGTGTAACACAACTCACCAAAACAAAGGATGTGTACTCTGCATAGTTCTGCATACCAATAAGGAAGTATACTATACATGACAATTTACCCACCAAAAGAACGTGCTCCTCTCACCACTTGTCCTCAACCTCAAGCTCCAGACAGGAAACAGGTTGGAGAGCAAGAGAGAGTACTCAGTGTTAAGGTGGGCTTGGGGAGGTAAGAATGCTTCATAGGAATCTACATGACCTCACTTCGCATTGTAAATAAGATGATCAGGGTACAAAGAAGCATGCCTAATATGATACCATTTTGGTGAAACACACAAGAAAAAGTCTGGAAAGATAAATATATTTAGCAGCAAACATCTCTGGATTATAAAATTACTCTTTTATTCTTTTTATCTCTATTTTATTTTTTCCTCTATTTTTTCCAATTTTTTCCTAAAAAAATACTTTTCTACATTTTATTCTTTAATATCTACTGCTTCTTTTTTAATTGCAAGGATGCTCTCATTTTTTAAATCTTCAGAATTCTTACAAATCCCTCAAGAAAGGTAAGGATGGTTCATGCCTAGTGTTCATGCTCAAAATAGGAAGCATCTAAACCACACCCTCAATACATCTGTCAGAGGGCCAGGAGTAGCAGTTCAAGAAATATTATAAATGTTATCATTATTTAAATTGTGTTGAATTATTAAAGCAGGAATTTAACTAGATAAGAACTTTCTAAGAACTTTCAAAGTCTGTAACAACATTTGTGGCATAAGAAGAACTGAAATGAAAGATAATAAATTAGGAATAAAACATAATAAATTATTAAATGAATGAATGGGTAACTAAATTTATTGTGGTTATCATTTCTCAATATATACATGTTAAGTCATTAGGCTGTACTGCTTAAACTCACATAATGCTTAAGTCGATTCTACTTCGATAAAACTGGAGGAAAAAATGGCTATTACTTACATACAAGGCTACACCAAATTCAAGTGGGCTCTGAGTTCACAACAGTGTTTAAATCATTCAAATAACAATGAAAAGGAGGAAAAGAAATTGAATACTATTCAAGTAAACTAGGGATACTGTGCTAAGCACTGTATTTTCAAAATCATGATCCACTGAAACAAAAGTAAACTGAAACATGTTGCAGACCTTCCACAAAGCGAGCAAGCAGGGGTGAGGAAGAAGGAAGGGAGAAGTTCTGTTTGGGAAATGCTAAGCTGAACAAAGTGAGTAGATTTCTTGACCAAAGGGGTTCTCAGAGCCCAGTGTCTTAACACACATTGGGAACCTCCAAGAGCACAGAAGATGCTACCAATTCCAGACATAAAATCATTTCGTCAAGAAACTAGACACATTTCGCAGCACAAAGTATTTAGGAAACACTGATGTCCACTGTTTCTTACAACCACTCAGAGCAGACGGTGTAATTTCTACACTGCTGAACTGGACAAAAGTCTCAGGAACCATAAGTGGTTCAGGGCTGGAAGTCGGGTCTGACTCCAAAGCATGCTTTGTTCACCAGTAAGAAATGCATTCCATTTTTAATACCCAGAGGACCGTTTCCCAGTCTTACTACACAGAAACATGATAGCTTAATTGAAAGCTATTTATCATTTAATTGCATATTATAGCTAACATGAAAGGCTCTAAATTTACAACTAATTTAATTATGTGTAAAGAGAAGAAACCTGTACCACTACTGCATGTTTCAGATTTGAATTCCTGAACAGCCAGGGTGTGTACATGTGAGCTACAATCAATGGGCACTATTTCCAGTGTAATCACAGCAGAAGCGCAGCTGTTCCTTTTCTCAATAGGACTGAAAGTTGAAGAAATTACTAGCATAGTCCAATTATCTCAGGAGTCCTCACACTAAGAATACTATGCAAAAAAAAAAAAAAAGGCCAACTAAACAAGAGGGGCATAAAAGTAAATCTTAAGACAAAAATATAAAAACAACTGAAAGTATCCAACATATCCTAATATTTTTTTCTCTTTGGCCTTGCCACGCAGCATACAAAATCTTAGCTCTGATCCTAATTTTTATTTTGAAAATTGATGTACATAATTTCAAAACTGAGTCCATGTATTCTCAAATCCTAATTTCCTGATTTCTACAGGAAGCAACAGTCTTTCCAAACATGTTTCAGTCTCTTCTCACAGAATGGTAACTCTCAGGCTGCCAAGAGAGTGGAGCACATCTCTGCACAGCAGACCTCACCAACTGCCTCAGCATCCAGGGAATTAAGAGAAAATGAGTTCTCTTCTCCAATTCCCTGCAATGAGCAAACAACACGTACCACGATGGCTACTAACAGAGGAAACCCGGTGTCCTACACAACACTGTCCACACAAAAGGAATCCTGAGAACAGTCAAAGGTTAGACAAGGCCCCCTCCTTCTGCTTCTTCACCATCATTCAGTATAGGAGCACGGGGTAACAGCAGTGCCATACAAGGGCCCTGCTGATGGCTTCAGAGAACCAGAAAGGGTCCAGCAACGGACGACTCCTCTGACTTAGGGGTTTGGTTGATACAACTGTACTTCATGACTTACACTATTTATTATAAATCATGCATTCATCATTTAAAAGTTTTCCTTTTATTCTCCTTTAAAAAAAAAAAATACTTGGCCATGTCACACATCTTGGAGGATCTTAAGTTCCCTGAACAAGGACCGAACCCACGCCCTCGGCAGTGAAAGTCCTAACCACTGGACCTCCAGGGAATTCCCCCAAGTTTTCCTTTTAGTCTTTAAACATATACATTAGATAGGATTACAAATACAAGCGAGCAAGAATGGATCATTAAGCAATTAAGTCCACTCCGATTCTTATCTCCCAAGCACACCCAAAAAAATATAAAGATCTACCTGCACCATTTATTAGGAAGGCTTCAAAAGAAACAATTCTGAAACTATCCTCAGCTATCTGGGGCGAACTGCTGGCCAGGATAAAGATGACTCCCTTTTCCTTGCTGAGCACAAGACTAGTTCAATTTGAACAGTGAATCAAAAGTTCAGAACTCTCTCATAGACAAAAGCCTGGAAGAATTTTCAGCAAACTATTTTCTAGCAAAAAATATAAGTATAATTTTTTTCACTGACCCTAGTTTCTTAGCTCTCTGATAGTGATGTAATAAATTAAACAACATATTAAAAGAATAACACATGATGACCAAGTCGGGAGTATTCTAGGAGTTAAAAGCTGTTTAATATTCAAAAATCAATAGATGTAATTCACCACAAATAACACACCAAAAGAGCAAAAACTATATATCAGATCAACAAGCACACGAAAAATACTTCACGATATTCAACATGCATTCCTGACGAAAATTCTCAACAAAGCAGGACAAAAAGAACATCTATGAAAAATCTACAGATAACATCAATCCTAACTGTGGAAGAATGAATGCTTTAACTGCTAAAATCAGGAACAAGGTAAGTGAGACTACTCTCCCTACTTTTATTCTATACTGGCCTGGAAGCTCTGGTCAGCACACTGGGCAAAATAAACGAAAAGGAAGATGTAAAACTATCTGTAACCAAAGAAGCCCTTATGGGGCCTTCCTGGGATAGACACCCCCCCCCCCAATATCCTCTGCCACAACTCTTCTCTGAAGTACCCAGATAATAGTACCTCAAGCATATACCTAAGTTTTTCAGATGCTAAAACCACCACCAAATGTCAGAAATTAACTACTTGATGATCAAGAGCAGGCAGCCCCCAGACTTACTGGTACCTAAGGCGTGGTCACCATCAACCAACCACAGAACTGGGCATGAGGAGATCACACACCTTGGGACAGCCCTGCCTTTAAATATATGCTTTGCTGAAATCCCTCAAGGAGTCCGGGGTTTTCTGAAGCACAAGCTACCTGAAGTCTCTCTGCTCGGCCCTGCAATAAACCTTTCTCTACTTGAAACTCTGATGGTTCAGTCTGCTTGATCTCACTGTGAGGTGGAGCACACGAACTTGCTTGGGGATTCAGTAATGTATCTCTGTTCATAGACAACTTGAATGGCAACAGGAAAAGGTAAAGGAGTCTACAAAAAGGTTACTAAAACTACTGAGTAAAGAGAATAGGAGGATATAAGCTCAAGATGTAATAACTGTATTTCTAGATACCAGCAATAAACAATGAGAAACTGAAATCTTAACAATATAATGGGACTTTGGACTACCCTGTGGCTCGGTGGAAAAGAATCCACCTGCCAATACAGAAGATACAGGTTCAATCCCTGGTCTGGGAAGACCCCACATGCCATGGAGCAACTAAGCCCAAGCACCTAGAGCCCAAGTTCCACAACAAAAGAAGCCACCACAATGAGAAGCCTCCATTTGGCACAGCAAGAGAAAGCTGTGTGAAGGAACGAAAACCCAGTGCAACCAAAAACTAAATAAATTTTGAAGAAAGATAAATCACAAAGACATAATCCTAAAAAAAAAAAAGATAGATAGATAGATACTGAGGAATAAATCTAACCAAAGATGGGAAAGGGATCTCCCTGGTGGTCCAATGGCTAGGACTCAGCGTTTTCATGGCTGTGGCCCAGTTGCAACCCCTGGTCAGAGAACTAAGATCCTATAGGCCATATGGTGTGGCCCAAACAATAAAAATTTTAAAAAATAAGGATTAAAGAAGCATAAAAACCAATGTAAT